ATGCATAGACGCCATTTTAGCGCCCAAGTCGCGCACCAAGTGCGCGAGAGCGTCACGCACTGGCACATTCAGGGCAGCAATGGATGTCTTCACCCTGAGACAGACAGACATGTAGGCACCCTAGTCTCGAGCATTTCCACAACAATGAACGGCGCCACTTTTCCCAGGATAGAGGGGCTTTAGCCGAAACCGGTAAACGGTGAAAGCGGCGTCAAGCAGCGGTTGCCGCTGGCATTTTCCAAGGGTCATCATGCTAACGTATTCTCTAAGAATTCGTCAATAAATTCTAAGGATGGATGCTTGGGAAAGTTGGGTATTCATCATGTAGGAAATAGCGCAAAATTAAAGTCACTCACACTGGAAATACAAGCACACCGTAGAAAAGATTACACATGTCGCGCTAACTTACAACTAATTTGTACTTTCGTTTTCTTTTTTTTTCTCTTTTTTTATCACTTCTTTTTCTATCGATGTAGTCTTTTCATACCCCAACAAACTCTCAGGTTTATGTAAAAAAAGATGACCGCATCTCCACGTGGTGAATGATGTTGATTGGGGCGAAGCTTTGGTGGTGCTGAAGATACTGATTTTTCTGTTTGGTGTGCTGATGGTGCTGATTTTTTTTTTTATTGCTCATAGGTAGTGCTGAGTTCCGGGTTGCGTTTCGACTTCATTATTACTGCTTTATGGTCGGTGAAATGCAGAGCCAGTGGTTCTTCTAGCGGATCAGCTTGGATCCGCTAGAAGCTGTGGGAACGCATCTCCACCGCTTAAGTCAACGGTCCATGTCAGAAAGAGAATGTGTGGTATGGAACATGGTTATATACGCATTTGAGCATTTGACCGCAGCGCCCTCTCGTCTATAAACGTTGAGCCAATGCATGCAAGGTTTAACGCGATTATATACTCATTTGACCGCAGCGCAATCTCCTGTATACACGTTGAGCGGCTACATGCAACGTTTCATCCATGCAGAAACCCCAGCTCTTGAGTTACTACCACATCTCAGAGCCCCCTACTCGTCCCGCAGTCGTGGCCGAGTGGTTAAGTCGATGGACTAGAAATCCATTGGGGTCTCCCCGCACAGGGTTGAATCCTGTCGACTGCGCAAACATTTTTTCTTTTTATGTGAGCACGGACACCGGTCGAACGGACGGACGAACAAGGCTGGACCCTAAGGAGCTTGGCCTTTGAATCTTTACGCCTTACCAAAAACTATTACAGGCTGCATGAAAAAACATAGAACCCCGTACATCCCTTGCTTAGAAGGAG